GCTTTTTTTAAGCCGGGATTTTTTTTTTTTTTTTTTTTTTTTTTTTTTTTTTTTTTTTTTTTTTTTTTTTTGCACAGAGATTCATTTGGCATTAATAAAATCTTCATTCTTTCGTGAAAACACAAAAAAGAGCAGAATGGGTTCGGAGGTGGGGGTTGGACTCGCCTCTGGCGCCAGTCAACCAGAACCACCGGTGCAGCTAATCCATCTTCATAATGACTTAATAAAGCATTCCTTGATGCCCACTGGGAGCCCCAGAAACAGAACAAAGGACGTTTCCCCAACAATATATGTTTCTTTTGTTTGGTTTCCAGAGTATTAGATGGACAGTTTACAATATTTTCTTTGGTGAAAGCTTAAAAGTCTGATTTAAGATAAAACTCAAGTCAAGTTGATTTGCGATGTTTGTCTGACTCATTGCAAACTGTTTGTCCATAAATCATGTGTTATGATTGTTCATAACATTTATAGTTGAACCCTGTGAATATTCGAGACTAACTTGAGTTTGTCCTTTTGATGAAAAGCTTTTATTAATATGAGCCTGGAAACTATTCATTTTGTTCTTACTTTATGTAAATATAGGCCTTAAATGCTAAAAGTTAAGATAGTAGAACATAAATTTAAACGTTATCTGTACAGCGTAATTACGGTGTAAATATTCCAACGCCTCAAGTAGGAGAATCTGTTAATAGGACAACTTTGGGAAAGAAAACTTGGCCTTAAATAAAATTACGGTGGCAAGAATAAGCCAATTTTTTAAAAGAAAGCCACAAAGTCCAGTTTAAGGTTTGCCACAAGACATGGAGGAAATCTACGGAAGCGCATTGCTATCACGCAGAGAAAAAAAAAATTTCGATCGCTATCTCGTTATAACAAGATAGCGATCGAAAAAAAAATTTTCGTGCGTGATAGCAATGCGCTTCCGTAGAAATGCAACAATAATATGGAAAACAATAATCTGATAACACAAGAAAAAAAAGAACCTTTCTGACGTACATAGAAAAGATGATTATTCTTTTTTATGATTAGAAATAATGTTTAATCAAAGTACACTTGTGTTAAAATGGCTTAGTCAAGCAAAAATCCAATTGAGAAACTGTGACCTGACTTGAAAACTGATTTTCACAGACATTTTTCATCCAGTCTGACTGAACTTCAGCTATTTTGCAGAGGAGGGGTCAAAAATCTGTGCAAAACTAGTAGAGGCATATCCCTAAATACATGCAGCTTTATTTGCACAGAAATGTGGTTCAACAAAACAGTAATTCAGGAAAATAAATGCACACCACAAAAAACTGCGCATCGTTTTCCATGAAATCCCAATAAGATTTTGAGTATTAGAGTGACAATAAGTAAAAAAGTGAAAGTGTTATGACTGTTTTAGCAAAGCTTTTTTGTCAGTTTGTGTGATTTACCAGGATCAGCTTGCCGTCACTGGTGATCTCTCGGGTCCAAGACGTCTTGGGACCTTCTCCTTTGTGCAGAGTCTGCTCACAGATGATCTTGCTGTCTGTTTCCCAACGTGGAAAACTCTAAATGCAAAACAAAATCATGAGGGGGGGGAAAAAAATGACTGCCTGGATGCACAGACTGACTTACTGTCATTCACAAAGAAAGGAGCCAATGAATGAGTGTCTATAGTGTAGGAACCGGAGAAATAACCCATTGCGGGCCGGCCACTTGGAAGTGATAAGCTGTGATGCAGTGAAGTCCTGGCTGGATGCATGTGTTTGCTTTGGAGACGGCCACACAGAGGCCACGCAGGGCCAGCGGGGAGAATTAGGGAGGGGCAGAGGGCAAGAAAGGCGAAGAGGGGAGGATGGAGCGGGAAGATGCTGGGATGTTGAAAAGCAAAGCGAATCTTGATGGGCCCTCGGAGAACCAGGGAGGAGTGAAGGTGTGCTATTAGTTTTATCGTGATGGAAAAGCATAATTAAACAAATTTATGGCGCGTAGGCCGCTCCTTCCTCACACGCCCATTCTGCCTCTGACACGAGTGTTTGCATTTAAAACAACGAACAAACGTTTGGGAACAAATCTAGGCTTGCTTACCGTGCAGGGGCGGCCATCCACGGTTGCCTCATTGAACTCCTGGCCCACGGTGAAGTTGATGTGAGTGGTGCGGACTGTGGTGGACGTTTTGATGGACAGCGTCTCCCCGTCCTGCGAGATCTCCACCAGCGGCTTCGAGGCGGCTTTCACTGCAATCTTACGCAGCATCACATTCACCCCTGAAGATATGAAAGGCCGACAAATAAAGCGAGTTAGAATCACTTTACGATCTGATTTACTGATGTTTTCAACATTGTGTCCTGCAGATATTTATAGCATTCATCCCTCTTCAGCTTGTTCACATTTAGTCATATAAGTCCTCTGTGTACAAACTGTACAAACCCAACAAAATGTTGGGACACTAAACAAATTGTGAATAAAAACTGAATGCAATGATGTGGAGGTGCCAACATCTAATATTTTATTCACAATAGAACACAAATCACAGATCAAAAGTTTAAACTCAGAGAATGTATCAATTTAAGGGACAAATATGTTGATTCAAAATTTCATGACGTCAACAAATCCCAAAAAAGTTGGGACAAGGCCATTTTTACCACTGTGTGGCATCTCCCCTTCTTCTTACAACACTCAGACGTCTGGGGACAGAGGAGACCAATTTCACAAGTTTAGAAATAGGAATGCTCTCCCATTCATGTCTAATACCGGCCTCTAACTGTTCAATCGTCTTGGGCCTTCTTTGTCGCATCTTCCTCTTTATGATGCGCCAAATGTTCTCTATAGGTGAAAGATCTGGACTGCAGGTTGGCCATTTCAGTACCCGGATCCTTCTCCTACCATGATGTTGTGATTGCTGCAGAATGTGGTCTGGCATTATGTTGTTGAAAAATGCAGGGTCTTCCCTGAAAGAGATGACGTCTAGATGGGAGCATATGTTGTTCTACAACCTGAACATAGTTCTCTGCATTAATGGGGCCTTTCCAGACATGCAAGCTGCCCAGGCCACCAGCTCTCATGCAACCCCAGACCATCAGTGATGCAGGCTTCTGAACGGAGCGTTGATAACAACTTGGGTTATCCTTGTCCTCTCTGGTCTGGATGAGATGGCGTCCCAGTCTTCCATAAAGAACTTCAAATCGTGACTCATCTGACTATAGAACAGTCGTCCATTTTGCCTCAGTCCATTTTAAATGACTCCTGGACCAGTGCAAACGGCTGAGCTTGTGGAGCTGCTTAGAAATGGCTTCCTCTTTGCTCTGTAGAGTTTCAGCTGGCAGCGGCGGATGGAACGGTGGATTGTGTTCACCGACGATGATTTCTGGAAGTATTCCTGAGCCCAGGCTCTTATTTCCTTGACATTCCTGTTTGAGGAATGCCACTGTCGTTTAAGGGCCCGGAGATCACAAGCGTCCAGTAGAGTTTTACGGCCTTGACCCTTACGCACAGCGATTGTGCCAAATTCTCTGAATCTTTTGATGATGTTATGCACGGTTGATGATGATAACTTAAAAGTCTTTGCTATTTTACGCTGGGTAACACCATTCTGGTATTGCTGCACTATCTTTCTGCGCAACAATGGTGGAATTGGTGATCCTCTTACCATCTTGGCTTCAGAGAGACACTGACACTCTAAGAAGCTCTTTTTATACCCAATCATGTTGTCAATTGACCTAATTAGTGTTAATTGGTCTTCCAGCTGTTTGTTATATGTTCAATTTCCTTTTTCCAGCCACTTATTGCTACTTGTCCCAACTTTTTTGGGATTTGTAGACACTGTGAAATTTTGAATCAGCATATTTTTCCTTTAAAATGTTACATTTACTCAGATTAAACTTTTGATCTGCCACCTATGTTCTATTACGAATAAAATATTAACATTTGCCATCTCCACATCATTGCATTCAGTTTTTATTCACAATTTGTTTAGTGTCCCAACTTTTTTGGAATCCGGTTTGTAATTTATTGGGATTAAATACAAAGAGGTGCAAACCCCGTGGAGTGAAAGGAGCGCTCCATGAAGCTGTTTGTTCACCAGCGCTCTCTAATGAATCTCTGACTCCTTCACTGAGCAGTCGGATTTATGCTGGGATTAAATTACAGACTTTTCAGATTTTTGGTCTAACTCATTAAATCTCAATAAAACATAAACACATTTATGTTTGAAACGTGACAAAAGCCACTGTATAGGTTCAAAGATATCCTGCTCTGCTGAGAGGGAAAAGCGCTCACTTGCGTCCCATAAATCCTTCCAGCAATGATTATGGGGAAATAATGAGGTCATGAAACAAAGCAAGTCTGCACATCTGCATTCTCCCCTGACAACATCATCCGTGAACACATGCAAACACGCACCCACAGATTAAATACACCCAGGCTCAACTGGGGGATTTACACTTTCTGCAGGCTGTTGTATTATTCTCTTCGTTCCTCCTTCCATTAACCACAAAGGGAGTTCCATTTATCAATTACTCCATATATGAGCGGCTAAAATTAAAGCTACTTACTTGCTAAAAAAAAAAAAAAAAGTTACTTAATTGATGGCAAATGTGTTAGCCAAACATGATAGTTGTCAGAGAAAATGTAAAAGATAAGAGAGGGAATCTGATTTTGCAGTGTGGGAAACAAGAGGGAATGAGATTCAGACGGCTGTGGAAGAAGAAGAAGGAAGAAGAGGAGGGGTGTTCAGACTGCCGAGGGGCAGAAGGTCTGTGTGTTGTGTGTGAAGATCTCTGTCCAAGTGCGAGGGGAAGTGTGTATGCTCCGTCGAGTTGAATTTCACACCTCTCACCTCACACACATTCCCACCTGTCACCGAGTGTAAATATACACACGGAGAAATGCACAGTCACCAACCATGAAGAGTGTGCCCAGCATCCACACTGTATGCAGAGTACGCATGCTGCACGAGGGCAGAGGGTGCATTACCTGCATCTGGTCGAGGAGGAGAGGAATAAGATGCAGGCTGCACTCCGTGACGCCGAGTTGGAAATTATTAGGCAAAGACTTGAAGCTTTCAACATATTGCCAATATGTGCAGTCTTAGAAACTCACATAGCAGATTTTATTCAAATAAAGATACTAAATCCTGGAGTGCATAATGTTTCACGTGATTGTGTTTTAGATGAATTGGTACGTAGCATCATGTTTTAAAGGAACTTCTGCACACAGACTTTGTTCTTTGTCATTTCACTGATAAGTAATCAGTCTGGTAATTCTTTCTGTCCTGAAACTTGTAACTTTATTTATATTGTAATTTTCATTGAATTTAATAAAACTAAAAACAAAATATAAAAAATAAATAAATAAATATTCTCTGTTTTACAAATAAATATATCTGCAAGCTTCCTTAATAATGGATTCAACCTCCAGATTCCACAGTTTTACTTATTTGTGCTTACTAAGAATAAAAAAAAAATAACATAAATGAATAAAATTCCTCTTAAACTTTTATCGCAAACAGAGTTCATATCCTGAAGCGTGAGCCATTTGGTGAGGACAGAAGGAAGGCTTGGGTGCTTCTGCTAAATCCTCCGAGCTAAAGGTCACCTTCGACCCTTCCTGTCTGCAGACGTGGGACCAAAAGGCAGACCTCACCGCAGAACACACACAGACACTGAGAGACAGTCAGGGTCAGAGGTCAAAGTGCATAGGAAGCATTTGGGACAGAGAGACGGAGAGGAGGAGTTAGTCAAGGAAGAGAGGACGAATAGATGGTGAGAGGAGCGTCGGTGGTGCTGATGGGCCTCGTCCAGCTGTGAAGTGTCTTCAGTGAAACCAGGAGCAACGTTCCTGAGAGTCACATTAACTTGCATTCTTGCAAAAGTTTTATTTGTATTATTTGTGATTTTGTTGTTGTTGTTGTTGTCTTTTAATGGCCTTTAATCAAAGGCCATTAAAATATTATCTACAGGCTGTCCTGTAATAACCTAAAATATTTTTAAGTTAGTTTTACAAATTAAATTTGAAAGTATATAGTTGCTTTTTTTAAAAATCATTTGATGTTGTTTTTTGCAGACATGTTTTTTAAGATTTTTCTTCCACTTTCCCTCCAATCCAAGAGTGTTACCATGACAACATATCATGCGGTGTGTGCTTAAAATTTAGAATTGTGAAAAACCAAAGGATGATTTTGGCCCCAAAAACCATCCAAAGTAGAAGAATTATAAATAAAAGTTATCTCACACTGAAACAATCAGTAAAGACTTCCAGTTAATCGTCTCCTGAATGTCAGGTATGAAGCGTTAGTTCACTGGGAATCATTATGTTGGTGCTAAAATATCTTTTCATGTGTTAAAGTGCTTTATCTTCGATCAATTTCACACTCAAGAGATGTTGGTATCAGAGTGCATGGTGATCCACATTAATACAGATAATTGCTAAGTTGCCTGTTATGCGTGGACACAGCGCCGGTTTATTTCTGGAGTTTTGAGTTGAACGATTTAACAGTCAATCTCTGGAAATGTTTGGGTTCAGGACAACAAATGAAACTTAAAAGACCGTCAGAAACCTTGAGGAGCTGCCGATCAGAAAAGTTTGTGTCCTTGCGAACAGAATGAAATCACACAATTAATGTCTTCAGACTTTTCACAGTATTGAGAAATCCTGACCCCTGATTATTGCGCACAGTACAACCTAATCATATCGCCATCCTGTCCTTTGTTAGAGCCCCTTTCCTCTCTCACCTCAAACACACACACGCACAGACACACACATAGAGTGATGGAGACAAACAGGCAGGATTATAGGAGCAAAACATGCTCACTAATTGCTTCAACAGGAATTCTCTGCCATAATGAGTGTTAGCTCAGGGGCAGTAGTGGCCTTTGACATGTATTTCAGTGACCTCCATGTGCTGAGGATTAAAGCGAGTGAGTCTGAGAGAGAGAGTTAGATAAAGAGCGACCTTGTTTGCTGTGATGATATCGCTCTGAGTTGATGACGCGAATTCCAGGTGTGACTTGGAAAATCGTCTAATGAAAAATGATGAGAAAATGCCGGACAGATAGGATCCTCGTGAGTGATGATGGCTGCCACGTGCCGAAGCGAGCAGACGTAGGGATGCAACTCACCAGAACAAAGCAGAGCTTAGTTTCAGTATAAACAAAAGCCAATAGGCAGAAATTATTGCAGCAGAGTCGTGATTCAAAAGAAGTCACAGGGGCTGTATTATGTAAAATCTACTTTTTGAACTTCAGATCGTGTTATAATGCCATTCCTACATCAAAAACACACCTTGAGTGTTGCCTTAATTGTTTCATGAATGCTTGAGATTTCCTTGAACCTCTCTTGGTAAATATTTAACTGCGCAAAATCCCTGTGTGGACCAAGCACCGCCTTCGAGGATGAAGCTCCTCCTCCTCCTCCTCCTCAAAGCTTCCCAGCTTCTCCCTGACAGAGCAGACCTCTCCCACTCAGCTCCTTCAGACTAGCCAGCAACAATTAGCAAACATCTGGTGGAACTGCGCATCTGTTGAGCAGGTAATACCAGCTGCTTCTCAATGCAACGCTGGTAAAAACGTTGTCAAATGCTTAATAGAAGAATGCTGTAGTGGAGACATTCTGAGGTTTCAGAAAAGATCAGGAGTTTTTGTAGAGACCGAGACCCAATTTCAAGGCATTAAATTACAAAGTCAGATTTCTTTAAAGTCATATTTGAAATGTACAACACTCTTAAAGCAACTGAGGGTAATATAATTTCTTGATTGTGCTATAAAATGGCACTATGTGCTCCTTAATCATCTAAAGTAGAGAGATAAGCACTTCAAGTATGTCACCCTGTGTGATGAATCTATATAATTTCATTTTTTGAACTGAATTTCCGAAATAAATAAACCTTTCTGGGATATTCTGCTTGTTTTAGTTAAATCTGTATGAGCAAGTTAAAGAAATATCTCATTCAACTCGTGTTGCTCACTTGAACATACTGCAAAGTTAACTTCACAAAACTTTTCTACGCTCTTTAAATGGTCTTACAGGCAGTTGTTGGTGTATAATTTTATTGGCTGGCACATATCAATTATTTCACTTTTTAAATAATTATCATTTCAGATCGTTGTTGGCTTAAGTGTAAAACCAATTGTGTTAAATGTGGAATAACATTTTTTTTTTAAATAGAAAAAAAGACCATGACATCAGGAGACGTTTAGTGGTGCTGTGGGCCTGAGGGGCTCAAACAGCAGGTGTTTGTTACTCTCTCTGACTGATACTGACATAATGATGCTGTCTACCCTCCACGGTAATCACACCCACTCAGATAATCGGAGGTCGTTCACGGACAGATGTGCCGCCGTTTGTCTCCTTTGTGTTTGTAAGGACAGGCCAAAAGGAGGGGAGATGGGAGAGAAAATGGGTGGGGGCCCAAGCTTTGAGTTTTTGGTTCTGCAGAATGACAAA